ACAATGCAAAATGATTATTTATCTGCAATGTTAGTGAGCCAACCAGACAAAACGCGGGTCCCCAGTGATTATCTCAATTTATATTCATAATTTTAACCTCACTGGCTTGCTTTCAAGGACAAAACTAGGTCATTGCATCTGTGTGTGTGTGTGTGTGTTTACTCACTGGCAAAAGATGGTTACGGCTTTGCTTTGCCAACAAGAATGCATTCTCTGTCTCTGCCACACACATGCACACAGTTTATCTGTCTGAATTTTGAGCCTTCATTACAGACACCGACAAGCTTTCACACATACAGGACACAGGCATGAATGCCCATTTCTCCTCTCCACCTTAAAGGCTACACACACACACCTAAGTACATGGTAAAGACTGAGGGTGTCATTGCATTTTGTAAGGATGAAATAGTACTAAGCATACTAAGTATTGAAGAAAAGATAGGGAGATATGAAGACAGAGCGCAGGTTTATAAATACAAACAGACAAGATAAAGGGAAACAGACACAGACAGAAAAGAGGTAACAAAGCAGACATCTACCAAACCTTTAGCCAAGGAACCAGTCAGCTGTTAATAACTCTTTTAGAGTACATTCACTGATTCCCAGTCTTTCAGAAACACAGTATCTGCTCCACCCCGACCCCTAGTTGCTCCAGAGGCATGTGACCTCATATAATAGGTCACATGCCTCATAACATAACATATAAAGCAATTGTAAGTTGCTTTGGATAAAAGTGTCAGCTAAATGAATAATGTAAGGAAAGAGCATCACCTAAAGAAACCTAACCTGAATCATAAATTTCCAATAACACATTGTTGAGATTTTTGGGAAATGCAGTGTAGAAACAGCAATATGCAGCATGCCAAAATGTTATTAGTATTAGAAAGAATCACAAACTTAGTGATTACCTAATGATAGGGCCTAATGAATATTAATAGCTCAATTTCTACTGGGCTGTCTCCCCTGTTTGAAAAATAACACACTGTACTGTTTGCACTGACATCTTAATAACCTCCATTTTTCAAATCCTATAAAATTTGTGTGACTGTGCGGTAGCGGCACCAGACCTCGGTCAAGTCCAGCACTTAGAGAGGCTGCAGAGCAACATATCCTGGGAAAACTTAGTGCTAACTGAATAAGCAAAGTAGATGGATGGATTGCGCTATCCTCTGCAGCAGCGATGGCCTTTTAATGAACACAAAGATCCACGGACTTGCGATAAATGAAGAGCCACATGTTTCCTCTAAAGATTCGTGCTTATTGAGACACATGAGATACTGACAGTTAAAGTTGCATTTGTCATTGGATCATAGTGCTAATTTGTCGAGTACACAATGCCTCACATATCCCTGAACTGACAATAGTCAAACACCAATTCATATGGTGTGAAGTAATGCCATCTGGTAGACACTGTCATGTTCATAACAACTCAGTAACATATTGGCAAAGATACAGTTCATCCTGGCTGATCATGCTTCGACAAGTTAAAATGTCTCTTGTGAAAAGGGTCTATTTCACCAACTCTGGATGAGCTCTAGATCTACTGTCCCGGTATACTTCCTGGTATAGTCTAGTTAATGTTCTAATGAAAGCTGATTTCACCTGCTGAGATACAGTTGGGATTCAGATTGTACCAAAAGAAGATAATATGATGATTTATGTTATGCTATGCTGATGTCAATTCAAATTAAGACACAACATACATCATTTAAATATTAAAGCATCATCAGCCAAACCTCTTGCTTCACTTGTTTTGGGTTTTTTTAAACAAAAGCTTTGTTTGGGCCTAATTTTAGTCAGTGTGACTCTATTCTGTATGTGCAAATCCTACATATAATTCATAATACAAGTCATAATTGTTACAACTATGTGTAGGCAAAAATTAAAACCACAATCAATCACAATTTTATCGCAATCATGTATCTTTTTTCCCAATTTTGAAATGCTTGAAACAGCTTATGAATTTCTCCATTTGCACCAATAAAACACACTATTGCATTAAAGATACCACATAGGTTTCAAAATGAATCTGAAGTTGTAAACAGATGACTAAAGATAACATAATCATAAAATAACACTTTTCAAGTACTCACAACAGTTGCATCATTTACAATATGACACCCAGGAAAGAACAACATGAAGTGATTCATACAGTCAGCATAGCCATCTAGTTAATGTCAAAGCTAGTCAATGAGGTTATGTTAAGTTTGAAAACAGAAGTAAGAGGAAATTAAACAACTCAGTCTCTACATTTGCCAACAAAGTAGATTGTAGACACTTTAGATCACAATCTCAATCTCTAAAATCATCAGATTGCCCACCCCTAGTTAAAAACACTCATGTAAATAAATTAAATAACTATTCACCACAGAAAACACAGTAATACCACTGTGGGGTCAGGGATGATCAACATCCCCTACAAAGTTCCACATGAGAATAAAATATTATGCAAACTTGAAAAAAGGGAACCTGTCTTACCTGTTGTTCAAGGTCACATAATTGGTGGCATTATAAAAAACAAAAGAAGGGAAGGGGAGAAGAGAGGAAAAAAGATCGCATCAGCTTCACTGCATTAAATACAGTTCTCCAAAATCAACCCAAACAATGTCTCAGCGTTAGCCCTGCTATTATTCATGAATGTGCTTCAAAACTCAGTTCGAATTTCTGGAAGTTACAGGACATTTTAGAGATTTGTCACTATTACAGCTAGAAGGCCAGTGTGAAAGAAAAAAAACTGTGTTATTGAATGCTACTATGTCAGAATAAAGGTCTACGGTGTCAGAATTTGGATGCTAGAGCAACAGTCAGATTCAATAAATTGTTCAAAAGCAGCGAACACACATTTCCTATCAGTGTCAAGTATTGGGTCAGGTTTTAGTAGTAGGAAAGAGCTGTGGAGAAGCATCGAGAGAATCACACTGGAAAAGCTTCATTCAGCAGATTGTGGGATGTAGCCAGAGACAAAGTACTCAGGATTGAAACCCAGCATTATCAGGAGGAAGACACATTACAATGAGGTCATTTCAGGGTTTCCCCCAGTGTACAAGAGGTCAGGCAGGCCAAAAGGACAGCTGGCATAGGCACTGGACTGGACTAGACTGTCCGTAACTATGTGGTTGTTACAGTCATGGGGATGGTCAACTATATCTGTCAAAGTTATGTCATACACATCGCTTTTTTAGACTAGCTCAAGGTCAAGAGTCTGCAGTTCTGTAATTCTGTCGTAATAACTGGGGGAAACCCTGATATTTGACAGTGATTTTATTTCTTATTTAGGACAGCATACCAGGATAAAATATTCAAACCTAGGACTAGGATTTTAATGGGAACAATAACATGGATTTTTCAACTGCACTTTGCATTGCAGGGTCAAGGTCACAAGTGATTAAAACCTAAATCTCATTTTAGACACTCTTTGAGCTTGAAGTTTAATTCTTGACCCTGAAAATGCACTTAGAGGGCACTTTATTACGTACACCTGTAAAATCTAACGTAATCCAAGTTCTGCGGATTTACCAGGTCATAGTTTGTGATGGTGTTGTACTGGGCTGCATAACATTCAGTTGTTTCTAATATCTAAACACACCATTTACTCTATACAGGTAGAATAAACCAGGGCTTTTGTATTGAAAGATTATACAGGTGTACCTAAACAAGTGGACAGTGTATTTTCAGTTTGACAAAATATCTTTACTCAAAACCCCCTTACTGGAAGTCTTCTGGAGCTTTGGGCCACATATTGTGGCCTTTATCATTGTATGGAGTTTGCACATGGAGATGGTTCAGTAGTCATCATATTGCTTAAGTATGGAACTATTGTTATTGACAGGCGGCCGTATATTGGCGGGTTTAGACATCCAGTAAGGGAACATTGAATGAAGGGATTTTTTGTCAAACTGTCTAATGGGTTCAAATAATGTATACTTAAGAATTCACAGGATAGCTGACTGGAGTATTTTGGACACTAAGTTTAAAAATATTAGATTACTCCACTTTGGTCTTTAGTGGGTAGCATGTGTCAGATTTGCTACCTAAATGTGAATGTCGTACATTCTCTTACAGCATTCCTCCTTCTACAGAAAAATCAGCTTTGAGAAAATGTGGTCAAACCTATTTTAAAGAGTTGCAACAAAACACCAAATATATACACAATAATCCCAAGGGGCATCAAGAAAATTGAATTATTGCAGGTTGTGCCTTACAAACCTAAACCATATTTTACATTATCAGTAAGCACAGCCATGTTTACTTTTAATTTCTCTTCTACACCGCACTAATTTGGCTCTATGCAGTTGATAAAACACAACAACTATGATATTATTTACTTTATTTACTTTATAAAGCTAAAAATGCATTAGCAAACTAGCTTTGCCATGCAAGGACCCAGGTTATGTGTGTGTTTCTATAGACAGAGCGGGGATAGACGTATACACAGGAAGCTGACAATCAGATGAAACTGTAGACAGTGCAGCAAGCATAGATAATGGAGCTATCAGAAGCAGCAGGTCAAGAAATTCAGGTAACAGATACACGGAGGCAGGCAAAGTGAAATCAAATCAGACAACTTCTCACTTTGCCCATGTAGTTTTGTTAATATAGGGCCCGACCAGCACATTACATTTGTGTCCCATTCTCATGCCAACAGCTGGGAAGAGTCAATTATCTGAACACAAATGTTTCTCTGGTACATTTTTGAGATGAAACCATATTTCTTTAAAATATAATGACTAATAATAATAAAGAGCAGATTTGTTCGCATATCTATTGTAGATATCTTAAAAACAGATTAAAACATTCTACATTTCTCTGTCGGGCACTGGTTATTACAAATACATCGAGGAACGGATCAAGTCGACCAGGCAGGCCTGGCGCTCGATCCACAGACAAAGAGCCATGCATATAAGAAGACAAACAGAAGCTACTTCCTCCTATCCTAGCCTACAATCATTTTGCTCTAATTTGCCCATTGTTATTCATAATCTTCCCTGTAGTTCACCAACCTTCCAGTGGGGGGAGCTGTGACGACGAGGACTCCTGGTGCTCTGAGTGTGCAGGGAGAGAGGGAGGGGCTGCAGGGGTGATGGAAGAAGGGAGAGTGGTTGTTACTGAGCTAAATGGTGTGACTACATTTTGGGGGGGAGTGCCTGATGTGGGAGAGGCTTCATTCCTACGGGGAGAAGCAGAGGACTTAAGGGCAGTGTCTGAGGTGGTAGTGGACACCGTAGCAGTGGTTGCCGTGTAGGCTGCTGCTGCTGTAACAGGAGTGGAGGAGGTCTTAACAGATATGGCCGTGGAGGATATGAGTGTGGCTGAGGGAACAAAAGGCTGGGCATCAACGTTGAGGGAGGATCCGACTGCACTTGTAGGTGGGTGTGGGTCTGCGGCAGCTAAGGGTGATGGGTTGGTGGACAAAGCGGAAGTAGGAGGAAAGTCTATAGTGCTCTTGGAGGGACTGAAAACAGAAGAAGCTTGTGAAGCAGGGATGGAGGTCTCTGTCGGGGTGGAATTTGACAGGAGAGCGGTAGCAAGGGAGGGGGTGTTTATTATAGGGGTGGTGGTCTGTGAGTCAGGAGTGGAGCCTGGGGGGGTCTGGAGGACAGAATCCAGGAAAGAGAAGGTCTGGGAGACTGGGCTCAGATTGTCCCCTGCCATCAATGCTAGACTACTGCTAACATCCCCAGCTAAACTACTCTTGTTGGCAGCACTAGCCACTAAACTAACGTTAGGTTCAGGATTGCTGGTCGAAACTTTGTCTTCGTTTGCTTTTTGACCACCTTTAGCAGACATCAGGAAATCGTCTACACACATCGGCTCATAGGAGCGTGGAGATGAATCTGTTACAGGGCTAGCATGCAAACTGTTGGTGAAACTTGTGGGTATTTGTGCGGGGGCAGATGGCAAAACAGGACTGGGGCTGGAGTTTGGAGCTCTGGAGTCAAAAGGACCAGAGTCTACAGTTGCAGTCCAGGTAGGAGCGACTGTAGCCAACGTGGGGGAGATGGGCTGCTGGGGAGCCCCCCACTCCTCTGGAAGTCTTGCCCGACTCTTAGTCTTCCTGCTTTTCACTCGTCCCCCTCCTCCACTCTCTCTGATCTCCCACTCCCGGTTCTCCTCCTCGTCTACGTCCTCCTCTGCCTCCCATCCACCCTTATCCTGCATCCCATGCTTGTCTGATTGGCCAATGTTATTCTCCTGGCTATCCAAGAAGGCGTAGACCTCGCCACGATCCTTCCTCTTCTTCTTCTTCCGTCTCTGCTGTTGCTTGCCAGCCTTGCCCCCCGGCCCCACTCTCTCGGGGCTGAGGGGATCGGAGGTGGAGGAACTGGGACTGCTGTCGTCCATTGAGCCGCTGGGAGAGAGGACGGGAGCTGCCGGGGGGGGGAGGGTTTTATAAGAGGAGGAACCAATCACATACTGTGTTAAAGAATCACCTGCCAAAAAGCCATCAGATTATCGTTACCATAGTTGGTTGCACTACTTCATGTCTAAATTGTTTAATGTTTCATGGCAGTAAATGAGTGTAATCACTGGTCTCATTAAAAGAGTAAGGTCCAAACCAGTTGAAGTGATATTTTGAAGAACGGTGGCTTGTAGAATTACCATTAACTGAAGTTGGATTATTGGTCTGAGATACCACAGAATTAGTTGTTCTTTCTTACACAGAGCATGTGATAAACTCATAGCTATTATTTTCTATGATTTTGCATGTAGTATATCGAATAGGTTGGCATTGGGACAATAATTGGGATTAGGGTACCCCTATTAGGGGACTAAGCCACTCCTAGTGAATGTATCAGTATTTCAGGGTGTGCTTACAGAGAGGCTTAATCCAGTCGCTTGGATTGTTTGCACATACACTATAAATATCGGCAGCCTTGTGTGGCACCAGAGGGATCTGCGCAAAAGTTTATTAAATTGCCTCAAGTGATCCAACACAAGGCTTCAACAAGTTTATCTGAAATGATTTAATTAAAGCCATGACTACAATAACGCAGACAACCTCTATGCTTAAGACATACATAATCCATACCTGACTACAAAGAGCCCTGACTTATAAAACACTGTTGAATATCAGTCACTTCAGTGAAGGTAGTGATCCACGTAGGTCTGTCAAATTCCACTGAATTCTTCTTGTATTGTCTCAAAGACGGCCAATAGACAGGACTGAAAAGACGGTTGTGGGTTATATGCATTGTTAGATAAAGCTTTCCTCAGGCTGTGGGACTCCTAAAATCATCCTCAGCCCTGCACCATGTCAAATAGTTTTACTTCTATAACTTGTTATTTATCCACCCATCTATAATCTTTGTATATAATGTTTGCTTTTTGTGAGTAGCATAAAGGCAAGGCAAGTTTATTTGTATAGCACATTTCAACAACAAGGTAATTCAAAGTGCTTTACATAAAAGAACAGGAAAATATAAAAAAGTTTTAAAAGTTAAACAGAAAATAAAAACAGGCAGGTCTACGACCTTTGCTTATTTTACTCCTTTGATTCCCCATCTCCCACTCTATCCCCCCTTAGTTACTTAGGGACTCTTATCCTAAGGGGACTCAAACCCTTCTTTAGATCTTGTTATACAACCCTGTGTTGTAAAATAATAAATAAATCTACCTTATAAGTTATGGAAAGACCATCTCTGCCAGTGTCACTGTTGAACTTTGAGGAACATTGAGGAAGAAAGGCATTTCCATTACTTTCTGAGGTCGCCATCTAAACATGACAACTATTATTATAGTGCACCTACTGAGACTTGATGACACTGGGTGGGGGCAGCAACTGTAAGATTATTTTTGGCAAATACTAGGATAGCAGCACTGCATTTAGCAACATTTGATTTTTAGTATAACATACTGCAACATGCATGTTAGCATTGCACTCAGATGACATATTTTATACAAATAAGTAAGGCCCCTTGCCCTCTCCTTTGCTTTGTTGCATATGCTGCTTGTGCAGACAATATGCAAGAATGAAAGTTAAAGTTTTCTTCCCTGTGTGTTCCCGGCCATAGTAACCATAGTCCGACTGCTTTTAGGCTCCTTTTGCAAATCCTTTTGAACGTTTCCATAAATTATGATGTATGTGATGGTGCCTGCTTTTATAAATACATTGAACCTGTACTTTACTCACCTGTTAAAGACAATGATTCTGTTTCTATGGTTCAGTGGGCTAATGTGCATTATCAATTTACATTAAGAAATATAGTTACAGGTGCTATTTCAGAGAAACATAATGAATCAGCACTGGGCATCGTTTGATAAGAATTTGCTCTGATTTATCTGCTTTGCTGTGTCACGGTTGCAACATGGCTGTGACTCATCTCTGCTGCATTTCACATAAAACAATGTTTTTATGAGAATTTGCCAAATTGTTATGGTAATTTTGTAGGACCAAAGCTGACTGTGATTGGAGATCTACTCTATATCTACAATTTACATCTAACTCATCATTGCTTTTTTGTCATTAAGGGGTAAATTCTATACCAATAATTCCAATGAATACAGTAAAATTGGAGGAAATGAAAGGTGAAAGATCCATTGTATGGTCATATCATAATGTGTACATTTTCAATTACGGAACTGACTGTGCTTTAAGAAAGCACTTTTAGTCAAACAATATTGTGTGATTCTCTCTTTCTGTGAGGAAAAAGTCACCTCTTCTAAACAACATCATCATCATCATCAACATCAACATCATCATCATCATTATCAGCATGATCCAGCGAGCAGAGCTGGTGTCGTGTAGGAAGCAGTCACACATAACAGAGCAAGACAAACACATTGGGAGCAATAGAGCTCTGAAGCTACATAAAAAAGTAAATGAATCAAGCTAATTTCAAACAGTGTCTAGCATGCATGATTAAGAAAAAATGCATGCATGTATGAAGAATCATGGTAGTAAATGGATCATTGTCATTCATGCAGAAATGCTAAAATGATCCAAAATGACACATTAAACTTGTGTGATGTGACAGAATCACAAAACAATGACAAACTGTGCACATGCAAGCTTTAACAGTCAACTAAAGAAATTCAGCTTGCACTGAAATGATCACTTCATTTGTCTGACCCCACTGTCTTCTCTCGTTTGGGGATGAAGTCATCACATTTGGGGATGGCTTTCCCCTCTGAAGACATATTTCTCATTTATTCCTGACAAGTACTTTATCAGCTCAACAAGGAGCGACTGAAAGATGAACAGACAGATAGAGGAACAGACCACATAAATAAATCTCTCTGACCTATACAGCTCTCTCAGTCTGCTCATCATGCCCTCCAACTGTCTAAATTAGTATTCCATGTCAGTTTTCACCCTCCTTTCTCCTCTTTTCCTCTCAGTCTTACATCACTGGATGTGAATCCACAAAAAGGTGCGTTCCTCTGACACTTCCCTGTATTATGAAATTGATTAAAAGTTGCTATTTTCTCCCTTTGGCCTCCAATGCTTCCCCGGCTATAAACAGCTCAGAGAAGGGACGAGGCCGGGGCATTATCATCTATATTTAATGTGAAAAGGTATTTAATGGGATATTAATCTAGAGTCTGGCAAACTGCCAAGCGAAACATTAATGTTTGAGTGCTGGCTGTCTGTGTGAGAGTTAATCTAAAATTTCATGAAGAACAGGTATGTAGAACAGTTTCAAGCACAGGAACACAGTTTGAAAACAGGCAACACAGACAGAGCGGTGGTAGACAGAACTGGTTGGAAAATGTATCGTCAGTGCCAAGCAGAAGTTTAGTAGCTACAAAAATACCGATGTCCATACACTGCAAGTCTTAAGCATCAATCTAAATGCACCCAGGCCACAAAAACTAGTGAATCGGAGAGGAGACAATAAGTGTAAACGACAGTTATTTGGATTTATAGAGCAGGTCACAGGTGGTACTTTTGTTACTTGTGCAAATATATTATGCTTACTTATTTGGCTAAACAGAGGATAGACTGATCCAACCGGACTAGAGACTCCTTCTGTGAAAAAAGTAACTTTTTTATGAAAAGATGATCATCGTTTGGCTTCTTTAGAATTTACGTGATGTGAGGCAGCAGGAAGCAGAAAGATATGACTTGCCATTACTCTAAAAGTTTCATTATGCCTGCCAGCAGGAATGACCTATTCAGCTGCCCTAATAAATGCTCTTATAGAAAGAACAATTAAGAGAAAGGCATAAAGATAAATTACACAGCTATTTAAACAGCTAAATCTTTACTAAAGAAAAAGCCTTTTTTCTTTAAACATCTTTAGATTTAGATTTTTCAATGCATATGTGCAAAAGCAATCGTGACACTTGCATTACTATTGGAGTGAGTGTCTTTTGTAATTTTCTGATATTGTGCATGCTGGTGCTCTGTCATGGCTTACTGGGACACTTAAATAGAACAGAGTCATTATTAATGTTATTACAAACACATGTTCTCCCTCATTATGGATATGACTTTGCACAATATGAAATCCAGCGCTCTGACAGATAGCTGGAGGTGGAGCTCATCGCTAATTCTGTACTGTGAGCTAACCAGGAAGCGTCCTTCTTGAGATAATAAACATTTCCATTATTCATTACTGTTGTAATTAATGCAGTTTAAGGCACAAAAACAATGTTTCATGTTTATCTGCTCATATTCCAGCATCCTTTGCACTATGCTCCATCGCACTGTGTACATGTGTACATGTATGATGGATGCGTATGTGCACCTGTTTATCTCATCCACCTGTGACATGTACATAATAATAATAATAATAATAATAATAATAATTTACTACTATATCCTTTGCACTCTGCTCATTGCATTGTCTCAATCTGTCTATATTGTTTTTGTTTATAGTATATATATGTGTTCTCTATACTGTAGCCTGTGTGTATTGTAGGGCTGGACAATAAAACAATAACAATAATTATCGCAACATAATTTTTGTCAATAACAATATAACAAATGTTCAATAAATAGTCAATAAATGTTTGATTTTATCCACTTGAATCATACACAAATTAGAAGCAAAAATCAGTCTTTAAACTCGAAAGACATAATGATTTGATACTTATCGTGATAATTATCGATATCAAAAGATATGAAACTTTTTATCGTGATAACATTTTTGGCCATATCGTCCAGCCCTAATGTATGGTTGTCATGCAAATTATGTGACAGGATTGGTTCATTTACAGAATGTCTGCAGATATTTTGTGTGATGGAGCGGACAGCTAAACATAGAATTTTAAAATGGCAGCATGTGGTTACATCACTAAAGTCTCTTCCTTGAAAATGTAATGAGGAGGGTTTTTTTATACAAATATAACTACAATTTTCATTCTAAATAATGCTGTCATTATTGCAGATATTGTTAGGTAACTACTCATTTGGGGTAAAATACAATCTTTCCTTAATTTATCCCTGGTTTCCAAAAGATGTCTGTTGAAATATCCTGCAGTGTATTGTCCTTTATTTTGCGCAGATGACACAGATCACAACATAACTGTTACATAACAATCAGCTTGTACCACAGCAAGCTTTAAGCTAGCTGATTTAGTACACTAAGGCTACGTTCACACTGCAGGCCTTTATGCTGAGATTTTTTTGAAAAATCTCCTCACGGTCCGCTGTCCGTTCTGTGTGTGCACTGAAAAAAATGTTGTACACAGCTCTGGCTCTTTAAATGGGAAACAAACAAAGTGGCTTGGACCGAGCCACACATCACTTTTCCAGCCATGACTTGTGGCTAGAATGACTTGCCCGCTGACATTCAGCTTACTTTCTAGTTTATTAAGACATGCTGATGTTGTGATGTCAGCTATAGTATCAGGAGATTTGTGAATATTGCTGTTAGCAGGTGTGGTGGCCCTGGGTCTAGTCCTCTCTGCATGTTAGCTTAATGTTAGTTTCGCAGCAGCAACTGTAACAACAGCATGCTAACTCACGACTTAGCTAACGTTAATTACATTACCTGCTGTGTCGCTCTATATCAGGATTTTTGTCACGGTGTTGGATTTCTACAGAATTGTTTACTGCACCTTTTAATGTGACCCAGATTGGACTCCAGTTTGTATCTGTATATGAAAGTGGCCCAAATCAAACTGGAAAAAAAACAGATCTGAGTCACACATGAGAAAAAGTATTTCATTTGGGTCACTTTGGCCTGCAGTCTGAACGCAGTCTAACAAAACAGAACGGAGAAGAGGTAAAGAATAAAATCCTGAATAAGAGCTGGTTAAATGTTTAATAAGTAATGCACTGAAACTCACTGAGTCATTTTTAAAGTTCAGATGAGGGCTTTGGGGTTCTGTCGCTGAATTCTTTATTTGTTGCCTATTTCCCTCGCCTGAGGCTTTTAGGAGGAGTTACGGTCTGCCTGAATGAAAATAAATATCTGAATATGAAATGTAGTGTTACACAGAAGACTGAAAAGGGCATGGTGTGTTGTCCTATCTTTGCAGTTAAATCCTCCTGTGGGTTTGTGGGTTTGTTGATCAGCAACCACACATTCAGCTAATGTTATTCACTCAAGCAGCTATTGATTATTATACACATTGACAATTCATCGTGAGAGGCAACTAGAAATTTCATTGGAAGCACTAAGTTGCCTATAGGCTGCTTTTTTTTCCATCAAACTGCAGTAACTACTGAAGGCATAAAATGATGTCCTGTGTTTATCATTTAAAAGGGTCACTGCATAAGTCACATCTGTCTGTTCATCCAGTTTGTCAGTAGCAAAAGAGAATAGCAAAGTACACAAAGCGTGAAGCCATGAGGCAACCAGCAAACTAAAAACTGAGCTGGAACTGTTCCACCTTAAAAACAGCTGGAAAAGGCTGCCCTCTGCTGCTGAAAGCATGTCCTGTGTAATCAGGTTGTTACTCTTCTCTTGCCACCGCTTGTCCCAGCTGCCCTGTTACAGAAACCTATGCAAATTTCTAAAAACAAGATTAGCATAACATTTTAGGTTCTTAAGAGTTTGACTTTTCAATTTGGGCCAGGGATCTAGCTCTAACCTTCTTTGTAACTGTGTGACAAATCCAACACTGCCTGAAACATACATTAAAACTCCTCCTCTCTCCTCATTCTCCTGACTCCTTCCTCCTCTCCTGCCCCAGCATATGGAAACACGTACAACCAACCCTCTGTCTGATACCTGTAGAATGATCCATAGAGTGGATTCCCGGGCCACCAGAAGATAACAGATCACTGGTTTTAAACGAACTGCTTCCACTTGTGGTTTTGTTTTCCACACCAAACAGGCCTGAATTCTTCTGGGTGTCCATAGCTGAACCCATCCCACTCTGGCCGAGAGTGGAGCTCATACTGGTCTGAAATGGTGGCAGGCTGGACCCCATGGTCCCCCCCATCCCAGACTGAGAGAAGCCTGAGGGAGAGACAGAACACAGAGATACATCACCAGACAATTGGCTCTAAGACAAATGTACATAAAAAAGCTATACACACTATATATATACCACTTGCTGCTTTTTATTTTAAAAAAGTCTTAATTCACATACTGTATAGTAATAGTGTTGAGACCAAGAAATAGAATTATTTGGTAACACCATAACCAGATTGGCCTATTTACATATTGTTATGGAGTCATAATAGGTATTTGTATTCGAGTGATTGCGAGTTTTTGGTGCCTTTGATCCTGTTATGTGTGTTGTTTTCTCAGTATGCTGAGTTGCAGGTGGCAGCTGATTGGACAGAAGACTGACGGTGCCTCCAGATCTCTGTATATTTAATAATAATTTCTACTGTGATTGTTAAATATTTCTAACATTTATAATAAATGCCATCAGAATAATTTGAAACATTCTACAATCATAAACGTTCCACACATAGTTGCTTTAGTGACTTTATTTGTTGTGGGTGGTTACACCTTTCCTTTGCAATAGACGGGTTTCCCCTTTACAAACAATCCTGGAGGGAAGGGGGAGAAAACATGCTGCCACAACGTCATGATAGCTTATGCTTATTTATGGTCACTTTATTTAGGATTTAGAAATTAAGCAATTTCCTGGAAACCAGTCAAAGTACCTATTTGAAAATGAGAAGCCCCATTGTCACCTGACGCAGCTTGTCCAGTTTGTAATGTCTGGACAATCGGTACAGAACCGCCCCACACAGGAAACAATAATAGTCTTTGCCCCAGGAAATGACAGGTCAATGAGAGCAGACCTTGACAAGCAGCTAAGGTTCCCCACCGATATCGCCACCACCACACTGAGACCTGACATCGTCCTGTGGTCGGCAACCAAGAAGCGTGTTAGTAGAGCTGACAGTTCCATGCGAGGGGGTCATCCAGGAAGCACATGAAAGGAAAAAGTTGTTGTATGCTGAAGTAGTGGCAGAATGTTGGAGAGCAACAAACTATTAAGTGGATGCTGGCTGCCGCGGTTTTGTGAGCGTCTCTATACAGTGCTTCCAGAGAGACATTGTCTTCAAGGCAACAAAAGACAAGAAGCAGAAAATGAAGGTTTCTGACTCTGGTTGCGAAGAAGAGACAATAGCTGGGGGAACAGAGAAGCCACATTGTGGAACCACTTAGGTATCTAAATCCAGCTGAAACGTCCACTGCCCCAACACCATGAGATGTTCTGGGATTAAAGGGGCAAAACGTCAATGAAGGATAATTCCCACCTTTAGTACCTCTGGAAGGCTAACATGACCCATGAAAGTCCAGTGAGAAACATCGTTTAAAAGCAATGACAATGATAGAAAGTTAGCTCTACAGGTAGTGATGAAAAAGAGCAGCAGAGGTTATAAGCACCGAAGCCCTGCTGGAGCCCCCCCCTCACACAAGTAACATTACCTTAACAAAAAGTAATGTTGTATGGAATACCTCCCGTTTCCTGCTGAGCACAGAACATCGGTCATTCTGGATTTTGTCGGCATGTATAAAAATCCTGCAGGCAAAAATTTACTCATAACTCAATTAAAATCATAACAAACTCTATCAAGACAGGATTTTTTTCAAAACACACGCCTGATTGTTTTTCTCTGATGTAGCAATCAAACAAATATGCAATCAAACTGCACCTCTACCAGTCGCACTTTGAAACTCCAAGTCAAACTGATCACCAGTATATTGATCAAAGAGCCTGACAAACTTTCACACAATTAATTTAACAGCCATAAACACACAGTAACAGTGAGCTGTTTTACCTTAAAACAAGTGTTTTTCTTAACCAGGTTCTGTGAAAAACAATCCACCACCTTCCAGCACTTTGCACCACTTATAATCCATGACTCTAGCCACCACTCTGAGCTAACTGGAAGGTTCTTGAGATAATGAACATTTTCTGGTACCGAACACAGCCTCAGAGGCTGATGAGGGCCAGTCTGACAACAGGGAATACAGCACAGAAGTGATTTACAGCGTCTCAGACGAGGAGTCTGACTCCGGGGAAGAGGAAGACATGGTGGTTCAGGCGGGGACAGAAGAGGCATCAAGTGGGAGAGGAGCAAGAGGGAACTCACATTCAAGTTGGTGAATTAAGGGCCAGAGCTGATGATTGTTGTAACAGTGGAAAGGCTAACCAAGATGGTTTTGGAGAGTTTGAATGAAGTGTGTTTTATGATGAATTAAGAAGGCAATTAGTTTGGTGAAAGAGAGAAACTTGAAATCAGTAGGTTGTATTTTTCCATTTGATAAGGAAAATAGGTGTACAAATATTTCCTTTCTTGACATTTTGGGAGTTTATTTTGTTTATAGAGAGAGCTTGTGTAACATAGCAATCTCGCCTCTGAGACAAATCTCCTATCTCCTAAAGCATGCCAACTTCATATCTCTGCAAAACAATACACAGACGTCTTTGACATAACGTCAGAACTGTTACTTCATCATATATTTTTGATAATATAAGTTCATTTTTTTTTTCTTTTAAATTCTGGCCATATTTTAAAGATGGATAGTATAATATAACCTGCTTCTAAGTGTGCAGTCAGAGGTAAAAAGTACACAGGAGGTGAAAAAGTAAAGTGGACCTAGAAATGAGTCAGGCATGCTGCTGTCCTTTGTCTTGTTCAAGCTCCACTGATCTGTCCTCCCACCCATCATAGGACCTGAGAGGGGGGGGAGTCAATTGGAATAAGAGAGATGATAATAGAGGCAGAGAGTCAAAATGAGCTGGATGAGTGAAAAAAAAGAGAACACATATGGGCAAAGCAAATGTAGAATTTAGAAATATTAAACATGATCCTGCTGCATTTTAAATGTGTGCATGCAGTATGTTAGGTTGAATGGAAACACAAAAAATGGCAATACACCACAATTTTGGTGATTTTAAGATGTCACAGTAGGAAAAGCAAAGGTTTAAATAATACAATGAATTATGGCAGAATTTCATTTAGCTTCTTGAGTTTCTGGGTTCTGGCATTGTTCATGCAGGCTCACTGTCACACTGTGGTGGCTTACTGGGACACTTGAATAGATAATAGCCATAATTAATGTTACTGTAACGTCTGTGCTATTCCTACTACTACGCCAAGTCAAAAAGGCCTATGAACAAAGAATTTGGCATAGCAACAAAAGGAAAATGCAATGAAGGCTCATGGTGACATGCATCTTCTTCCTGCTCTTTTCTTTTCTTTAAACACTATAGACCCAGCCTTGGCATGCTATACCATTCAACAGGTTCACCTCCAGACCCATTTTTGTTTATGTGATTTTATATTTGCGTGATTATAGTGGTTAGATTTTTTCCTTTCAATAAATTGTCTTAAAATTTAGACATTTAGTGTTGTATATGTGTGTGTGGAGGATTATGTATTTATAGTGACCACATAAATAATGTGACAATGCCCTTATGTTGTGGGGTCAATATTTTTTGATACCCGCCATTTTACTAGTCTCTCAAGTGTGTGATTTTAGCATAAAATTATTTTCTAGGTCCTTGTGAACATTTTACGTTTTTACTTGTACATATTTATTAGAAACATGGAATTGCCCAAAGTGTCATTCCTGGTAAGTGTTATTTTGGGGGATTGACCTACAGCCCCTCTGGACCCTCTGCAAAAAATACTCCTTTGCAAACTTCTTCTAAAGTGGGGAAACCTTGTGATAAATAACTAGTACTCCCTCCCCCCTCACCAGACAGGTAGTCAGAGCTGAAGGCAGGCTGTCCAGGTGAGTCTTGGTGTACCCCTGATGACATCTTAGATGACATCATCCCTGGACCTAAAGGAGATAAAGACAATTATTAACGTCATCGCCAATCAATAAACAGAAACATCCTCGATTAGCTCATAATTCTGTCAGAACACCACATGTTCTTATTCTCCTGCTTGGATTCCTGTTAGATCAAATTTCCCATATACCATGTTACCCAAAGTACCAAATAGAACATCCCTTTTTTACTACTGTACATTGTGCTCAAAGATTTTCATTGCCTACATTGTTTATTCCATACATTTCAAGTTTATGACTAGGCCTGTCACAGTTATTACATGACTGCCTCATAGCAATTATTTGAGCTGACGACTATCATTTTCAGTCAATCAATCTATTTTCGTTCCAACTTTTTGGAAGATGAGATCACAGCAATGGTAGAGGAGACTGAATCCAATTAACACGTATTATTACGTTCTTTTCTGTCTAAGTCATACTGAAGATCAAAAGTAGGGGTGGGAATCACCAGAGGCCCTACGACACGATATTATCACGATACTTATGTCACAATACGATATTATTGCGATTTTAAACATATTGTCTCCCCAATGTTAAACTCTTTTTCTAGTGGACTGAAAAAGGAACCGATTCTATTATTATAGTACCAAAAAGTAAATTTCTCATGTACAATTTATACAATAAAAGATCGATATTTGACGTTCGTGTATCAATACAATATTGCCACGGAAAATATTGCGATACTATGCTGTATTGATTTCCCCCCCCACCCCTAATCAAAAGTGATCGTAAGTTTGTTTTATAAATGAGGCGCTTGATCTGTCATTTCATTTTTGCTGGGTCATTATTTATTCACAAACCAAAATCCATCACCTCACATGAATGTCTGTCTTCTCTAACTAGATAATTTGCAGTTAAAATGCTGGGACTGTAACGTGGCTTTGTCTTTTCACGTTGCAAATTAACTTTTAAAAATAAAATAGAGATTCCTACAACTGTACATTTATGTGCAGCAGAGCATGAGGTTTTTGTTTACAAAGACTGGAAACAAAAATGTAATTTATTTATATGTTCAATGTCAATGAAAGTTTCTTCTTCATTAGGTGTAAATGTATTATAACTATTATTAGGCTTATACTATATTAGTAAACAGAATTAATCACAATGATTTGTTAAGCAAATAAATCATCAACTAAAACTTCATGATTGTGAAAACACTAGCTAGTTATGACATCTCAGAAATACATTAGCTATTGAAACCCTGACCCAGGATGAATGACCTACATGTTTCTGACAAACACATCTAGCTTCCTGCAGGCTTTAAAAACAAACTCAATCTGTCCGTCTGTCACTCTGCTCTGTCAGCTGTTTAACTAACACGCACAACTTCCCAAAACCAGCCTCTCCGGCCTGTTAGTGTGTATTCTGTGTCTGTGTGTGAGTATATCTTTTGACAGTGAGGCGACACAACATGTCGCTGAAGGGACTATCACCATGGTTACGCAAGGAGGAGGACGAGAGCGTCTGAGATTCCCTCAGCAACACTTGCTACTTAGAGACGGCGAACGTGGCTTAAAGGATCGAAGCATGTGTGCCACCCACTGAGGCACACATACCAAGACACAGATGTTTGACAAGAAAGTAAAGAGAAGATTTGCACTATTGATTCTACCAAATCCTATTGAGTAGCAGATATGAAACCTGCTATATATTATAAACTATTATCATAACAATTAAATGATGTAATCAACTAGATAATACAAATATTTACTCAAAGTACACTTCCTCCCTCAGCAGCCATTACATGATCAAAAATAAGTTGACACTACTTATACTGTTGTTTCACGGATGAGCAGTAATCTAGCACATTTAGCTGTAACACAATGACATCCGACACCTGATTTTTCCATATTTATGTAAGAAAAAGACCATATAATTAAATGAATGCCTGTCAGCAAAACAAACAGTATGTCCTTCCCAAATGTGCTATGAATAAAAAGCGTTTGTCATGGATTTCATGAGATTGTGCTAGTTTTATTGTTTGCCACTCTGTCTCATCAGTGGTGAAGCCCTGACATCCTTTACTTAACCCTTGATCACACACCTCAAGTCTTTAGAGACCCAGGGCCATATTCCATCCTATTTAATTCATTTTTGTTTCCAATCAAGCCCTTTAGTACCTACATAACAAGCACTATAAAGTATGTATCCGTCCATGGTCCTGAATACCAGGTGGAAAGATAAACAGCCTACAATAAAAACAGAACAGTGACGTATATAATATATTAACTTCTTTTGGGACATACATATGGAACCTGACTGTTCAACGTATACCTAAAAATATATCAGTGTTATAAAATGATGCAGTGGTTCAAATGTATTCCGGGAAAAAGACGACACTAGGCCAACGTCAGCGTAATAGTGGATATCATGAATAATTAACAAGTGTGCATTAACTGTGAGTTTAGGCACACTGGAAGGCAAGTGTGTTTGTGATAGCAAGTGTTCCTTTATGGCTGTATCCATTTTGAGTCTATAAAGGTTTATATCCAGGTGAAACCACACAAACAAACAAACCCACCCGCACACACACACAGCATGCGGGGACAGTCAGAACCCAGACAGTCGTCTGAGGACAGCAGCCAGAAAGAAGCCTCAAGGTCAAACCTTCTTTTTTTCAAACATGATTTTTATGGCATTTCTGCATCACTGGACTGGAAGCTTTTTCAAGCACAGTGCCAGGAGACACAAGTCAAAATATACAAGCAGGGAACCACCACAAAAATAGCTTTGCTGCAATAGCGTTGCATAGTTTGAAGAAGTACAGTTTGCTGGGCTAACCACTGTGCACGACCTGGGCTGGTTGTACTTTCAGGTCATTTCTCATTACACTGCTGTGTTTGGTTAAACGCAAAGTTGCAATTGCCAAGGTTCACATTATTCAGAAAGTAAGATGTGCCTGCATAGGTGGGCTCCAGCGCAGATCGCAGTTTATATCAGGTGGTTCTAGTCATAAAAATTAACATATCTGCGTTTCTGCTGTTCTTTTTCTGTCTTTCAACAATCTTTTAAGGTCTCCAACAATTGTCTGTTCGTTGTAGGTCCATCAAGGTTTTGCGTCTGTCTTTGCATTTCGTTTATCCTTATTTTTAGGGCTGCCCCCGACTAAAGCTTTTTCTCGTCGCACGTTTATGATGTTAAGTTAGTTATTTAAATATATATTTTTCAGGCATCAGAAACTGATTTGAGTTCCAGTGCTGAGACAGAATGTTCCAAGTAATACTGTCAACACTGTGCTGCACAAATACAAAACCACAATAATATATATTTTAGAAGGGACACAAAGAGACGTGCTTATTAACGACAAGGAACAACTAATGACTCAGGTCGTTTGGGTCGTAGCTTCTCCCTAAAACACAGAAAATTGTGTGAAAGTGCAACTTTCTCAGACAACTACTTTCATTGCTCAAATGATTGCAACTGAATGGATGATGATCTATTCTATATGAACTCCACTGTTGTCCTAAAACATGATAGAGCCACACCGTTGCTCTGGGTGACATGTTTCTCCCAAACCATGATTACACATAATGTAGTTAGTTTGAATAATGTTTGTTAAAAGATACCAGCTGTTTTTGGAAATTACTAAGCCTTATTATAAAGATTAACATCCTCAGTACTTTGCCTTATTCTTTAATGGTAACAATTAAGCATTCATGCAGAACATGCAATTAATATCAAAATAAAACGTGGATTCTTGGTAGCCTGACTGAAAAGTACAGTAAGTGCACATCCATCTGAAAGGGGAACTCAGGGTGGCTCCCAGCTGACAACGCTGCAGGCGGCACAATAGCACCGTCAGAGGTGCGTCAGGCAGAAATGCCCAGCAGGTGGAAACCACCTGTGCTCACATCATTTGTAAGGGAAACTCATAAAGAGTACTACTCACCCTGTGATTGCATAATGTCCTCTGTGGCACTGGAGGAGCTTTGTCAAGTCATCAGGGGTTATCTTAGCTTGGGCTTGCACCATATATATCTTTTAACAGAAAGCCCACTTTACAAACTGGAGTTAGAAAGAAGTTGGAATTTACATTAGGCCTATGGAGGGAACATTTCTGGAGCTCAACCATAGTACAGGCTAAATGTGAGGATATGTGGAGCCCTGCTTCATCAATTTCAACCATTCTTTTTTTCTATTCTGTCTCTCACAAGTCCTGCAACTTGCAACACTTAAATTGTTGAGTACTCCTTTAAGGGTCATGACATAGCCTCCAACTCATACATTTCTTCTCAGAGGTCAAAGTGCGGGGCTGTCTACTGTGCAGTGCCTCTGGATTGGTTTGGGGCTTGCTGATGTGCACTTTGCAATGATGGACCATATCATGTAGGGTTGCCAAGACTGAACCCAATTGCACTTTAGCTCAAAGCATGATTGCAGCTTCCAGATAATGGCAGGCAGCCTCTGGACAAACATGCTGCCTCTATATTTACATACGCATTTTATGGACTAACCCTTCAGTTGCAATATTTCTTTAAAGCAATTATAATAATTTCTATAATCTGTTACTGACATTTTTTAATCAAGTCAACAGTAAACTCATTCGGCATGACTGTAGTTTTGACCTTCACATGTAATTGTAGAGAAACCATTTAGCAAATCAGTGTAATAAACCTGCCAAAATTCCACAAGGCAATTATAGTTTTGTCATTATCTGATGTATGACGTCTAATAGGAACCTATCAATACTCAAAGAAGCTGTAACAAACATGTAGTCCTAGGTTTTGATACTTGGAATTTAAAGTTAAAGAAGCAGGTTCAGATAAAAATCACTGGACTGAGAAACTGACTGAATAATTCTCTCTCTTCTTTTAGCATCTACACACGTTACTCTTGAACAAAATAACCATTCATTAACTGCTCCAGGGAGGCTGCTCATTTTCCAACAGTAGAGGATTATAGTTATAGGTAACGGAGGGGTTACTGAAAACCTTTTAAGCTTTACTTTTTCTCTCTGTCTCCCTGATGTTTAGACATTTACCCCCAAGACA